AAAAGGTTTGGTCGCCGACACAATATTTAATTAAATAAACCAAGGCAACTCTTAACACTTGGTTTATTTCAGTGGCCACTAGATGTTTCGGTCTTCACGGGACCATCATCAGGTGGTTCTACAAATATGTCTGTTAACTCAATGCGTAATATGGATCCATATTCGTGCAATGCATAACAGTCATACAGTACACTCGTGTATATGTCATAAAGTTAAAATTAATATACATTAAAATAATGTTGCACGTTAAAATTTGAGCATTAAAAAAATTGTATTTTAAGTAACAACATGTTTCGTAGCATTATAGGGATACAACTTTTTTAATACTAAAATTTTAACATGCAACATTATTTTAATGTATATAAATTTTAACTTTATGACATATACACGAGTGTACTGTATGACTGTTTTGCATTGCACAAATATGGATCCCTATTAGACTATAGACATATTTGTAGAACCACCTGATGATGGTCCGGTGAGGACCGAAACATGTAGTGGCCACTGAAATAAACCAATTGTTATTTTTCTTTTATTATTGCTAGTGGGGTGAGACTAAGTTCCTTGTACTGCGGCCACTTCTGGCCTATTGTACCAGCCCCAGATGATAGGTGAGGGTGATTGTGGAGCAGTTGGTGGAATGAAGATTGGCAGGGGAAACCGAAATACTCGGAGAAAACCTGCCCCAACACCACTTTCTCCACCACAAATCCCACTTCACCAGACCCCGGGATCGAACCCGGGCCGCCGCGGTGGGAAGCCAGCGACTAACCGCTTGAGCTATGTCGCGGCCAACCAATTGTTAAAGAGTTACCTTGGTTTATTTAATTAAATGTTGTGTCGACGGCCGAGCCTTTGCCCTGTTCTACCATGTTTCTCTCTTTCTCTTCTCGTTCCCTCTGTGTGTGCAAGTAAACACGAGAAATGCACGCAGGACAGTATGTCCAGTAGCAGCAGTCCGTACAGCTAATAATGCGTTACCTGCTCTACAGCCCGATGATATCGAGGTGGCTGGTGTGCAGGCAACGCTCTGTACACATATGGTTCATTGGCTGAGGTTTTCCTTGCTTTTCCCAAGTCTTTACATGTGAATGCTGGGATAGTACCACGGAGTAGGCCACGAAAGCCGTCTTTCAGATCTCTACCTACTCACAATTCATGATCATCCTCACATCTCAGTCGACGCTGTATAACGTCTTCAGTTAAAGAGCTTCGCTAAATAGCTTAATCTTCACCAGCTGATGATGTACGAGGGTTGTGAACTTTAATAGTGGCAACACTGCTGTAGAGACGCCATGCAACGGAACCAAATAATGACGCTTATACCACACGTTAATTACATACCTAATCTTACCTCACAGCAAATGGACTCTCCCTTCCCGCATCACGCGCATGCGCAGACGAGAAGAACAGAGCCTCGTGTTAGCCGGCGGTCTAATGTAGTGTTGTCACGATGTTTTCGAAACAGGAACAAAGGAGTTGGATAAAGATTGAATGTGCCAGAGGCCGTACAGCACGACAGTGTCATCAAGATCTTCATGAGGCTTGCTCGGAATCTGCATTGCCTTACAGAACAGTGGCAAGGTGGGTAGAAGCCTTCAGTGAGGGACGCCAAAATGTGGCAGACATGCGTCGGCCAGGTCGTCCTAGTGTCAGTGAAGAAGAAGTGTATGCTCTTTCCGCGTTACTGGAGAGTGATCGACGTCATACGATTCGTGAGCTGGCCCGAGGGACAGGATTAGCGCATACGACTGTGGTTCACATTCTGAAGGAACGCCTGGGCATGAGAAAAATTCCATCACGATGGGTTCCGCATGAATTGATCGAAATGCGGAAATGGCAAGCTGTGGCTGATTTGTTCGATCGATGGGCTGGGAAGTGCTGTACCATCCACCACACTCCCCGGACTTAAACCCTTGTGATTTCAATTTGATTCATAAGATGAAGGAACCACTTTGTGGCATTCGCTTCAGAACTGTCCCAGAGATTCTTCAGGCAGTAGACCGCTCCATTCGAACTATCAACACAACAGGCGCTGCTGAAGGTATCCTACGACTTCCACATCGCTGGCAACAGGTTGCACACAATGCTGGTGACTACACTGAAGGACAGTAAAACTTCGAAATATGCATCTATTTCGTATCAGCTGTAAATAAATAGTTGCGACTATTAAAGTTCCAACCCTCGTAATAGCAGTGGACTTATGCAATTTGATTGGGATAGTTTTTTTTTGTTTTTACATCACAATAATCTGAAAATACCACGCCGTGTAGCTTGGTACATAGATACCAGCGTTTCGAAGGAACCTGTCGAATTCGTCGTCAGGGTAGTCAGCCTTCTACCTTAAAGATGGAGGCTTATGTCCTCTGAAATATATGTGTCAAGTTTTCTTTTCTTTGGCACTATAACCGCAATTTGGGCCTTGGCCTACCTCCATGAAACTCTCCGTTTCAGTTCTGTCTACTAGATCTTACATATTAGGTAGGACTCCTTACGCAATTGATCAGCTCGTCGCAAGGCCTCTACCTGTACACAAACACAGGAAAACACGCGCGCACACACAAGCACTAAACATTCATTCCCTGAGAGGGATTCGAACCCATGATCCCGGCTTACGAGCGAGCGAAGACAGTGCATGCCTTAGACAGCTCAGCTATCGTCACCGGCGCGTGTCAGGTTACATGGCGTAAAATCCCGGGGAATTGCGATCTTCATATTTATAGGCATGAGAAGCTCACACCTTAATGTCTTCTGCTCATTATTTACAGGTGAGCCGACAAGAAGGCGTTGGCAATGTCGATTGACGGAAAAGTGGGCAACTCCGCAGTTATTGCGACACCCGTAGCACACGACTACAGCCCATCCTTGGCGCAGAATTTGGAGCTGCAAACTGAATACGGCAACGAGCTCTCGAGGTGAGTTTCTGTAAGTCTGAACACACACCATTTTAACTGTGGTTTGATTCTTTCCTTCATCAGAAGAAACGTTGGTAACTATAAAGCGTCTCATGTAATTTGGAATGTCCAATTATTATTATTATTGTTGTTATTATGGCTCTACAGCCCTTTGTTGGGCCTTTGCCGTTTTTCAGTTTCTCAGTCTTATACACGGTCGGTAGGACTCCTTGGACGGAGGATCAGCCCGTCGCAAGTCCTCAACATACACACAGAGCAACACAAATACAGAATAAACGTTTACAATACACACATGCATGCCTTGAGTGAGATTCGAACCCACCATCCCAGCGTTCGGCCAAGCGAAGACAGTTCATGACTCAGATCGGGAGGCCACTGTGTTCGGAAGGAATGTCCAGTAAGAAAGATTAAATGTGTTAACCCAAAACGGTATTCCCAAGCCTTTCTACATGACTGCGCGCCGACGTTTATTTCACGACACAAATTCCGTACTTTGTAAAGTTGCGAACGCGCGCGCGCGCGCGCGCGTGTGTATAATCTTTTGATTAACATTTTTTGTTAACTTACAAAACTAGAGACATTTTAGAAATTTTGATAATCACTTTTAATGTATAAAATATACTTTTAGTGTCCTACTGACATTTTAATGATTTTACCATCATAAAGTATTAAAATACATTTTTAGTGAGTGACATATTCTTGATATCTGTTACTCGCATATTGATGCATTATTGACGTGTACTTTGATAATAACGATAAGGTAATGTGAAGGTAAGCCGGTCACGGTAGCTGAGCGGTCTAAGGCGTGCATTGTCTTCTCTCGCTCGGAAGCCGGGATCGTGGGTTCGAATCCCACTCAGGGCATGGATGTTTGTGTGCGTTTTTCTGTGTTTGTGTACAGGTAGAGGCCTTGCGACGAGCTGATCACCCGTCCAAGGAGTCCTACCGTATGTCTAAGATCTAGTAAACCGAAGTGAACGGAGAAGTTCATGGAGGTAGGCCTAGGCCCACTGGGGCTGTAGTGCCAATGAAAAAAAAAATGTGGAGGTATACCGCCAATTTTTAAATCTCTGAGAATTTCATTTTGCGCTGATACCAGTTATATGTGGGTGTGCTTTGTAATCTTACTACTGTGTATCCTGTTGTGCGTTATGAACAAGGTATATAAATGTATGCAGTCTGCACAACAATATTCTGCATTTAAAAAACAAAGAAGACACTACTGTTTGTAAAAACAAATATAAACAAATGTTGATAGAGTAGTATCTTCTTGTTTTTTAAATACAGAATATTGTTGTGCAGATTGCATACATTACATACATTTATATACCTTATGCTTTGTAGTTTGTAGTGTTTCAATCATTTACGGACATCCTATATGTAATTGAATGAAACAAACGCGAAAATGTGGACATTTAAAATTTAGACGAATGGCGTTTCAGGCGTGCAGCCCATATAATTCGACACATCAGGATGACAAACACATTCGAGCATTTCTGGTGTTACGGTTTCTATAGCTACCGCAATTTTTAACTTTCCAATACTGTTGTACTGCTGCATGCCACCCTTGTAACGATGTAACAGCTATGACGGATGACGCCATATTGCCACCGTAATTGTGAGAGATGGTGCCACGCTTGCACAAACTACCGTCTGCCGAGGCCGATGTGTTTGAATAGGGCTGTAATGAGGAAGGGCCGGAGAGAACATTGTAGCCATCATCACTGCTATATTATTAGCCTACTTTCCTTATTTTCAGAAATAAAAGCAGGCTTATGATATCACCTCGCTGTCTGTGTGTCGTCTGCGACCGTCCATCTGTTGTGTATCCCACTTAATTTCTGAGGCTTAAGAGATCACATTGGTGTCTGTCTGTACCCCCCCCCTCCCACCCTAATTTTATTGTTAAGAGGTTTATGAGATTACTTTGCTGTCTGCTTATCCGCTTTAATTTTTTCGCTTTCTACGACTTTGCTGTCCGTGTTGTATCAAAGGAAAGTAGGCCGTATTAAATAGAGACGACTATCTCTCTCACGCAAATAACGAAATTGCTTAAAGGTGGTGATGCACCATCTCCTTCCAGTTGTGGAAGAATGAAGTCCTCTAGCATACCGAGATAACTTGTCTTCTTTGTGGTAATCTCAGAAAGACAGAAATGTGTTTGAGCTGAGACAGAATTTCGTTTTGAAGTCTGCCGAATTACAAGAAGTTTACATGACGAACTTCACTAATGTAAATTGTAAATATGCATAATTATATTTCTTTTTTCATTTGCTGAATTTCCAGTCATGGGTAAAAAAGTAAAGCTATAACTGAACAAGCCGTGAAGGCCCATAAGTTTGTGAGACGCTGAGGGTCAAAGATGGCGGTAAAGTTGTCAGCCTTACGCACCGGCCGCCCTTTACTCCCCAGTAAAATTATTTAATTAAGTCCTGTTAGAGGCTGTGTCGACCCCAGGGCCATAGTGCGCCTGGAAGGGTTAGAGCAACTGAAAAAAAAAATCCAATGAACTCATCGGGACTTGAACCCGCGACCTCCCAGCTTGTAGCGTACGAGTAGTGCCTCAACCAACTGCGCTACTGGAGGAGACAGCCTCAAAGTATGGGAGATAGCTGCGAATATTTAGAATAAGCAATGGCAGACAACAAACAATGGGTGGTCCTCCGGTTTGGGGAGTTGGGCGTGGGGCAAACAACTCCTCGCCCTGAAAAAAAGCTTGTTACGACAAGTCAGACAGATCTAAAAACTTAAAAATTACAATGCACAAAACTAATTTTGTCTGTGTTCTGTATGGGTGTGAACCATGGTCTCTTACATTAAGGGCGGAACATAGACTGAGGGTGTTTGAGAGCAGGGTGCTGAAGAGAATATTTGGATCGAAGAGGAATGAAGTGACAGGAGGTTGGCGGAAACTGCATAATGAGGAGCTTCATAACTTGTACTCTTCGCCAAGTATAATTAGAATGTTGGGCAGATGGGAAGGTTATGTAGCACGAATGGATGAGAAGCGCAATGAATATAGAATATTGTTGAGAAAGCCAGAAGGGACGATATCACTAGGAAGATAAAAACGTAAGTGCGTGGATAATATTAAAATGTATCTTAGAGAAATAGGATAGGATGTTATGGACTGCACTGATCTGCCTCAGGATAGGGACCAGTGGCGGGCTCTTGTGAACACGGTAAGGGACCTTCGGGTTCCATAAAATGCTGGGAAGTTCCTGAGGAGCTACACATCTGGCGGTTTCTCAAGAAGGGCTGAGCTCCATGAAGTTGGATACCCAGCCTACTGTGTGCCCGCAACAGACCATCAGAGGATAAGTGTGCCGTGGACGATGTTCGTACACAACATGCCCCATAAATGCTGGCGGCACATCGCCCACATATTTACAGAAGCTCACCATTATACCATGTTTGTGACTGCTTACTGACAAACGTTCTGTCTGTGTAACATGAAGGTAGTTTGGTTTATCTTCACACAAGCTTTTGCACTCTGTCTCTATGGCTCTACAACCCTTTCGACTCCCTGGATGGGGGACCAGCCCGACGCAAGATCGCTACCTACACACACAACCCACGATTGCAGTGTTCCAGCGGGCGACACCCCGCGGCAGATGTTACGCTATGGAACAGAAACCTAAATGAACTGTACAGTGCCCGCCGTGCTGCTGTTTGGCGTTCTACGTTTGGCTACGTTTGGAGCATCGCTTTGTATGGGGCTGAAACTTGGACACTTATGGCAGTAGATCAGAAACACATGGAAAGCTTCGAAATGTGGTGTTGGAGAAGGATGAAGAAGATCAGTTGGACGGATTATGTGAGAAATGAAGAAGTGTTATTTAGAGTCAGTGAGCAGAGGAATATCCTACACGAAATAAGAAAACGGAAGACTAATTGGACTGGTCATGTTTTACGCAGTAACTGCCTTCTAAAAGAAGTTATTGAAGGAAAGATAGAGGGGCGGATAGAAGTGACCAGAAGACGAGGAAGAAGACGTAAGAAGATGCTGGATGACCTTGGGGACAGAAGAGGATATTTTCATTTGAAGGAGAAAGCTCTAGATCACATCAAGTGGAGGAACTGTTTTAGAAGAGACTGTGGAGACGAGACAAATATTTGCTTATTTTTCACTGACCCTACATAAAACGGCGGGGATGGCTCATTTGGTACAGTGACGGGCTATGTGCTACCGGCAGGACAGCTAGGGGTGCGGGGGTACAATTCAGTATATGCTTAAATTCAGCACTAATCGATAGCTACAGCAGTTCTCTATTTAAGCATCCTGTTGCAAGCCATATTAAAATGTATATGTATAACACAGTCCGTCAATAATGCAACTATTGAGTGTTACAGACAGACGTTTTACTACAGTAGCTGTAAACTTCGCAGTCCCGTCGTTGTATCCCAGAAGAAAGATCCTACTCCCCCATCATACAATGGCCCCCACAGCCGGTTTGAACGTGATGTACCCGCCGAGAATCGAAGCCGCGTAGTTACGTAATTTAGGTTGCTGGATCACAAAATTATGCATACGCCTACTTCAAAGTGAGTCCGCCATTCGAGTTTATTGCGTACTACCTTCGGAATCTTAACACCGTCTAGACTCACCCCCGTCTCTCCGACATTATTCTACCATTTCGTTTGTCAAATTTTCATCCCCTTTTTCTTCACCCATGACAGATGTTCTGCGTTTGAAATATGAGAACATATTTTATTACGAAAATATAGAACACAGCAGGCTATGTTGGGAAAACGACAAAAATAAACAAGAAGACAAGCAGGAAGCGAGAATAACGAAGACAGAGCGAGAAAACTCAAACAATGTTCATGCATGCTGTTTCCGCTTCCCTGGATTCATTCTTTAGACACGGCTTTTTAGGGCAAACATTTAAAATATTTTTCACATTTTCTACACAGTCGGCTCACAGATGGCGGTGAGGTTGTCAGCCTTACGCACCGGCCGCATTTTACCTCCAGGAAGATTCCTGATACTCATTTCT